ACACGTCATCTGATCACGTTTCACATGATCACCTAGTGATTCAAGTGAATCATGTGGTCGACACCTTGTGATTCATTTGTATGCAGAGCACGTTTCATGCAACGATTTAAGCTTCATTTTACAATTGTACAACATCATTTGACTGTCAACATGGACGCGAATCGTTTTGCTAAATTTCGACATTCACTTCTTTTAGTCTATGGTTTCTTAAAACATCATGATGATGAAAACCGTCAAGTCGAGAAAGTTTTTACTTGGTTGTCGCAAGAATTTCCAGAACTTAAAGAAGCCTCTCTAAACGCTGAAGAAGCCGAAGATTTTGCCACCAAATTCCAAGCGTTCCAATCACCGAGAGTTGAAAAGACAAGGGTGGAAAAAAAGAGCAAGGAAGAAGTTAAGAAAATCTTGGCTGCATCCGTACAAAACACTGATGCTCTTACAGACTACTCCAATGTTGACACCGTTGTTAACACCGAGCAAGATTGCTTAAACAAGTTGGATGTTCTAAGCAAGGCCTTAACTGATGCGAAGAAGAGATTAATATATTTTTCCGCCCTTCAGGGAGAAGTGTTACAAAAACTGAAAGACATTTCAAAATGCACTATTAGCGAGTTGGGGATGAAAACAGGTTATTCGCAATCGCAAATATATTTTCTATTCAATTTGAAAAACCTGATTGAAAATAATGTAAAGCTTCGTTTTTGAGAATTGTCTTTGTCGTTTTTTAAAAATAATATGAAGACAATCAAAGAAATTTGCCAAGAAGATATTTGTTTCAAATAAAGATTTTACTTCAACATGATTATTAAGTTTCTTTTTTTATGGGATTAGTTTCTTCAGCTGGAGAGGGGGGGGTTTAAAAATTTTATGGGATTAATTTCTTCAGCTGGAGAGGGGGGTTTAAAAATTTTATGGGATTAGTTTCTTCAGCTGGAGAGGGGGGTTTGATAAAAATTTGCATAAAACCTAGACACACAAAAGCCGTCACACAACACACTTAAAGGCAAATGGCACGCCGTCAAATTACTGTGCATGCACGATGATTTAACGTGAATACCACAAATAGACGATGGGAAAAGTGTCAAAATTATACCATATGCACAATAATTTGACGTGAATGCGTTGGGTCGAGCATGTAGTAAGTGCTAAAATTATTGTATATGCACAATAATTTGACGTGAATGTCTTGAGTTAGATCATGAAAAAGTACTAAGATTAACTAATCTAACTTAGATTCTCGTTAATGTGACAAAATGTCCCAGAACCGGCAACATGCCTACTACTAACTCTAGGTTATAATAAAGTGTACAACGACCTAAAAAATAACTTTTTGGTCCTGAAAATGCACCAGAATGCACCTCAGAGCATGCAGATTTTCAAAATTTTCTGGGGGAGGCCCCCCATACCCCCCCTGCAGGAGGGGGAAACCCCCTCCCGCACCCTCCCCACGGGCGGCTTTGCCGCCCGGCGCCGCTGTCGCGGCGCAGTGGTGCTCCGGCTATTTTAAAATTTCCTCCTGATACTTTTTTTCATTTTGAAAACCCTGACGACTACCTTCCACAAGTTTCAGTGAATCGTTGGAGGAGTACAAGATCACCAAAATGGCCAAAATCACCCCACCCATGACAAAGTTTGACTAGAATCCAGACGTGGCATCCTCAATCTACAGTGTTCATCAAGCTCTTGATGGCGATGAAAATGCCATTGGTTAAAAACGACAAGGGTTCCACGTGGTTTGCTTTTTCGCACGAAAGGAGCGCTCGTCCCTCAAGTTGTTGTCATCACTATGCAGAACACAAGGGAAGAATATAGATACCAGTTGAGAAAGTTAAAGGAAGAGCTAAGGTTGAAGGAATGGGTTCTTCAAAGAAACATGTTGCCTGCAGCAAACGGCACATTTCCTAGGAGCCTCAATATTATGACGATATTACAATTCAAGTTGGAAGAAAGAAGCAACCAGTTTACGGATGCTTGTAAAGCGACCAAAAGAATGGTCCTGCAAGAATCCATTGCAGAGTTAAAAGAGGTGGAAAAGAGAAGATATCAGGATCTGAAAGAGGAAAGAAAGCAAAGTAAAGTGGTGAGAGAACTCAAGAGCATAAGCAGTGCTTTCAATAAGACCCGGCACTCGCCGGAGCTCCGGCGGGTACTCTGTTGTGAGTCGCCGGGTATATTTCACCGCGCTCAAGTCACAGTCACCACGCTAAGTCGTAATCAAGTCTCTTTCCGGCGGGTGTTGTACCGAGGTAGCCACCTATTTCAAATCTTATTGAAAGCAATGCATAAGGAGGAGGAAAGTGGAGTGGGAGCAGTCAAACTACCTGGAGATCCTAGACTTTACAGATGACAGATGAAATGAAATGTAATCATAAATGTATCGTCTTTTATAAATGTGTTTGAACGTATATGTCTGTAGTGTTGACTGACAAACTGTCAAAAAAACCATATATAAATCTATCCCTTAAATTCCACATGATTTTGTGTAATCATGCCTTCCTTTCACGACTTGTCTTGCGAATGCGGTCGATGCAAATCGTGTCTATTGAAGGACGAAATATAAAGGCAAATGCAGCAAAAAGGGTTGAGAGCAGTGTATACTCCAAAGCAGGTACAAAAAATCACAGAGACCATGTGCAAGTCGACTTGAAAGATGCCTAAACAGGTCACTTGGGGTAAAACGAGTGTGTATAAACCAGAAAAGATGTGGTTCCGATCTACATCGTGTTGGCATTATACGCCTTATTATCTAATTCAATACGCAAAACGTCGATACCCTTTACGTCGACTCGTCAATGAACAACGGATGGATATTCCCTAAAATACTTGAGGAATAGGCAGTTTGACATCAGTTGTAGCGACGACGGTAAAGCGAATGCATCATCACCGACGTAAGGATTTTAAACGATTGTCAATTATTGTATCAGCACAAGTATATATTCAATTTGTGCACACCTAAAAAACTGTGTGGTGCAAGAGAAATCATACGTAACATTTTGGCCTATGCCAACGTTCCCAGCTGCCTAAAGAGACACCATGAAATAATCTCTACGACGTTACATTACATGGAGGCGTATTATTTTCTTCGATATTTACAAGCCGTCTTACAAAGGAAATTACCATCTCACGATATGGATGACCCGGCATCTAAAGAAAGGTTTATAAAAGCCTGCAAGGAGTTAGAAGATGAGACAGTCAGAAGTCAATGAATGGCCAAATCCAATAGGGGAGCACATGCAACTTTATATGTTTAGACATTGGAATGCATTTGAAGATTTGGGTGCGCGCTTAAGGTGGAATAATTTTTTAACGTGGATGATGTGACCGAGGTGTTTGCTTCGTTGCATAGTCCCTTGAGAAGCCATTCAGATGCGATGAGTGAATTGATGACTCTGACATAAAAAATATTCACCTGAGTGGTTTAAAAAGACGGCAGAGTTGCATCACTTTATCAAAGATTGGTGAGCATGGTCGGGCGAGGAAGGAAACATTTACAGTGCAACATCAAAACATTGAAAAAGAGACTACAGTGGGAAAAAAGCACATAGTCACCCACTAGAGTTTGATTCTAGGATCTTCACACTTTGGGAATCAAAGAATAAAAAGAGACTTTATAACCTTAAACGCAAGATTAAAAAACAAGAGAAAAAACATGAAGCTCTTAAACAAAAAGAATGTGATATTAGAGAATTAAAACAGAAGGAATTGATAGAGAAGTTATCATCAAGCCATCGTTTATTCAGTGTTTGTACCTGTGATCATGTCGGGGGTCAAATAACATCAAACTCAAATGCAAGTGGAAGAAACAAAAGAGAAAGCATGCAGGTAGCATGAAAAGAAGCATGTCTTCCACGAGTATCATGTGTGTAGTATGTGTCAGAGGTATAACATTCGTTTCACGTGACACAAGAAACGAGTCCTGATTGACAGCAAGTATATGAAAGCAAGCCAAGCCACGAGGCGTCCTCTTTTTGCTTGGGTACGATTGCTCGCTCCATCAAGATAAGAAGAACATGGCCTTCCAAGTGGGAAAGACAAAAGCACTTCAAGCTGAAGAGCTGCTGTTGATGGTCGACATTATAACAGATCTGAATGAAGACAGTGTGGACGAGGCTCTTGTGCTTAGGACGTTTGAAGTAGATAGAGATTTCACCCGAAGATCCATTGTACAAGGAGGAGACGTACAAGAAGAAAACGAAAAAAGCCATATGAACACACAGTACCAATAATTATTTGCTGCACTGCCATTTGCAGAGATAACACCCACACTAAAAACCAGACCAGTAAAATTTTTTGTAGATAACGGTTCATTAGACCATAAAGAAAACAACACTACTTCAACTATGCAAACAAACTGTCCAACCACCAGGGCCTCTCCTGGGGTACCCTAGACAGCAACAAAATGTGATAAAAATATCACATTTTAGGCTTTTAAAGAATTTTGTGAAAATAATACAAACAAGACATCAGAAAATTAAAATAAAGTAAGATTTAAAAACATGTTTTACCTGTGGCTTTTTTTCATTGGAATTTTACATTCCTTTTTTACCTTCCCACAGTTCTCTTTTAATGTGTTTCTCATTATTATGGTAACAAAGTGTATTCAAGTCAGGTTACACTATTCCTTAAAAGGAAGATTGGCAACATTTATTATATCTCATTTATTAAGCTCCATGAGTATTGTAATTTCAATCACTTCAAAACCATTTAGTATATTTTAGGGACAAGAAATTCATTTTACTTAAGACAAATCAGGAGTGAGAATAATAATATAATTCATTCATAATTCAACATTTATATAGCGCAAACTACTATATAGATAATCAGTCGCGCTTTACAATCAGTTAAGGTGAGATCGGACGTCAGAATTCATGAGGCGCACTATGCAGCCACTTCAGTCCATGTATTGATCTCACCTTCCCTCCCCAATTCACCCTAGATTAGACACTACACAAAGATAGACCACAACACCGGGCACTACGTGCCCTGTGCTTTTCAAAGAGTGTGTTGGTTCTTTAACGTCCCACAATTTTTATCACATATAAGGGCTTGTGAGACAGGACCTCCATTTATCGTCCCTATCCGAGAAGACTAGAAAGTCTAACCATTTGTAGATATTATTACAAAGACAGCACTTTCTTCTCAGTTATTTAAAGACTTAGAGTGTTGGTCCAGCCAGAGTCGAACTCTCGACCTCCCGCACAACAGTCCAGCGCTATACCAATTGAGCTAACCGGGAGGTGGTTAGCTCAACTGGTATAGCAAGAAATGATTTGCTTTGATTTAGATTGGTTGAAGTTGTGGAGAATACAATTGTGGACAAATTTATTTTCACAGTACGGCAATAGTTTAGTATCCCACTTACAACCTTAAAAGTACTTCATGCTTTGACGGAACTGTTAGTTTGGAGGATTCAACCTCACTTTAAGGGAGACAAAATTCATCTATTCTCCAGAATAGATTCGCAGAGAGCAAAAACTTGCTCTGATCTGCTGGAGACTTAAAGATGTGAAGACCGTTTTTGCACACTACTGGAGTTTCCATATGAATTACCTGTAGCAGTGCTGGAATTGATAGTTTTGGAGAAACCCAACCTGTGTGGCAGCTGAAACTGCACTTGAAGCAATTAGAAATTGACTAACTTGACCAACAGCAAGATGTCATCAGAATTGCCTGATATTTTTCTAGAATTGATGGTTTTGAAGGAACTCAACCTGTCTAGCAACTGGGGCAACTGAAGCAATCAGAGATTGACTACCTTGACTTGGACTTACAGCCAGTTGTCAATGACACCTCTAAATTTCCACCCATTATGAATATTCCAGCCTCCCACAGCTTTGACAAATGAGACTTAGGACCATGAAAAAAAAACCCTCTTCAGCACAAATCACCAGAGATGGTTTACAAGTAGTGAAGAAGACTTTTCCGTACAACTTTTTTAACTCTAAGAACAGGACAGCAAGATTAACGATCTTGTGCAGAATGCACAACCTTCCAACAAAGTGTTTAATTTCTTCAGGATTGGTTTAAAAGAAGATCCATGTCACCAGCTGTGGCTTAAGGTAGCTTTCAAATTCATAATATTAATAACTATTATTATTTAATACTTATTTTGCACAAATTAACATGTGGATATGATAAAATGCGCATCACAACACTTTTCGGGGACTTTGGCTGGACTGCATTAGCAGTTTACAAACAATCGATGGAAACTTATTTGAAGATGCCCCCTACCCCCAATTCCCAGTAAACAGGCCAGACCACATCACAGTAATCTGGTGAGTGGCTTCTTTAACATCCCCTGCCTAGCCAAATTTACTAATTAATAGATGCAGGAGACGGGACCTACAGTTTATTTGTCCTTATCCGAGAAGACTAGAATGCCCATCCATTTCTTGATATTATAGAAAGGTAGCGCATTCTCAGTTATTTAAAGACCACAAGTATTGGTCCGGCCAGGACTCAAACCATCGACCTCGACCTCCTGCACGACAGTCCAGCACTCTAACCAACTGAGCTAACCGTGAGGCTGATTATAGTTAATTCAAGAGGGAGCCCATCACATAAAAGCCTTGCAGTTTCTACCAGCCTTTTTTTTCCACCTTTGGTATTTTCCTTTTCACATTTGTAACTTGATAATTTAATTTATGGCAAAAATTAGTGAAACAAATAGCTATTACATGTTAGTAATAATATTTGTCTTAAAAGGCTTTTTTTAATGACTGCTCATATAGTTTGTATGCATTCTGGCTATATTGTTCCCCTACTGTAAACATATAACATCCTTTTAATTTTAAGGTGTACCCTCTAATTATAAGAATAATTAATTACTATTTTCTGGACAATACACTACTTAAACTTGGTACGAGATACAAGAAAGTTGTCGTTGTTGCTGCTCCCCTGTTCTCTTTTAAGAATTCATTTGTTAGCTTCATAGCATACTACTAAGACAGAGTTTAGACCAGCCTGCAGAGCACTGTGGTTCACCTTTTTAGATCAGTTAAAATTATTTTTGTTTTGTCCTATTTGTAGGTTTTAATCTTATGACAACTAAGACCAGGTGGCAATAAAAAATTACAATAAATTATTGCTAAAACCATTAACATACATTTTGAAAAGGCTACAAAGAGCTACTCCACAACATTTCTATAAGACCATTTTCATTAAAATCATTTTAAAGCAAGAAAACCTTGGAGCTTTACCACAAACAATTGTCTACTGATTGTGGAATCTTAGTACAGTACCACAATTTGTACTGTAGTATATGAAGACCCACTGCTGCTCTTTCAATGCAGACAAAGCTGCAAGAAAGAGTTTACGTAGAGCACAGTCAATTACACTACAAAATAACTTCCGTCTTATATAATACACAGTAAAGAACAATGGAGCTGTTATTTTTTTAACAACGATTTGTCTAACTTGGTAATATAACATGCCTCCTCAAACTAGAAAAAATACATCACTTACCCTTGGTCTCAGTTTTTTCCCAGGATTTTCCTCTTGTTTGTTAGTTTAATTCACAATATTGACTACTTCTTCACACCATCCACTATCCTGGAGAAGCTCTTTCACGACAGACATGGAACTTGCCAAGGATAAAAGCACTTGTACACCTAGAGTCCAAAGTTCTGAAATGTCATCCCAGAAACCTCTACACTGGGTGGCAAACTCAGTCTTTTTATCACCTTGGTCTCCCTGTGTTTTGCCAGTAGTAGGGTGTCTTGCCTCCTTCAAGATTTGAATGGAGTTTTTAAGGAAATCTGATACCTCTTTATGATCAAACAGTGCTATTTTTCCTCCATCTTTGTGGCACTTCACAAACAGAAGACCAAGGACCACAAGATTCACTGAAATAGTGACATTTACATCTCCGGAGAGAAACTGCAAAGAAGACACCAGAGCGTGTTTGCCAATCTCCTTGAGAGCTTCAACTTTTGTTGCAAGTTCTGGTTCTGTCACAAGGATGTTCAAGAAAATACCAAGCATGGTGACGAGACACATCTCAGACTCATCATCAACAGTGATGTTTTCTGTTTGTTTATGCCAAATGTTCCAATGATGAAAAAAGTACTTAGATAGCAGTTCAAGACCTTCCTTTTCAATGAGGATCTTGCGCATTTTATCATTGGCAGAGAGGTGACACAAGGGTGGTAGCATGAAACGCACAATGTCACATTCATTTTCTGAATGATGCCGCATCAAATTCCCCAGATCTGGTGAACTAGCACTTCTCTCTGTTGAGCTTGAAATAGCATCCTTCCTGTCATCTCGAATCAACAGCTTAAATTCTATAAAGAAATATATTCTTCATTAACTGTAAACTAAAAAAAGGCATTTTATCTTTTACTAATCTCTTGATCAAATTACCACAGTGGAACCTCAATTTAACAAATCCCTTGATGATTAAGTCCTCACCATAACAAACAATACTTCAGTTTCAGCCAACCAACAGTTACAGTAAAATGTGCGCCATAGAACCTTGCGATAACAAATCCCTGATATAACAAACCTTGGCACTTCAATAAATCCAGGTTCCACTGTAACACCATTAACTCCTGAGATTTGAAAAGAAACTCTTTTTATTGATGCCCACACATTCCTTGGCAATTAGTCCTTATTGCTGCCCATACATTCCTTGGCAATAAGTCCTGAGAATAGACCTCTTCAGCAGGTATTTTTTGTTTACCAATTTCAGTTCATGTAACAATACCAAGGCATGACCCAGTATTTTTAAGAAGGCCAATGCCATGCACAATTTTTAAGGAAAACCTTACAAGATTCTTAATGGACAGATACTTTAAATGATGGATAAAACTTTATATATACGCCGTTTTAGATCTGTGACAATTGTATTTCTTATTTTAGCTTTCAATACTTTTTATTTTTACAGAGGACCTCCCTGAAAACCATGTATTTACGTGACGGGCGCTTCCTCCTTAAAGATTGTTTGTCATTATTATATTATTATTATTATAACTTTTCAACTTACAAGCCAAGTGGCTAGTGACCTCTTAGTTATGACAATTTCAGTTTGTTTACTAGCCAAACTGGCTAGTGGAAATCAAAACCACTTGCCAAAACTGAATTTCTACTAATCTGTGGCTTGTGGGCTACTATTAAGTGTCGAGCCCTAACAATACTCTAGCCAGCTGTTCCTTTCAACTTTTGTTTACTATGCTTACCTGTGCACCTTAACGAGATGAAATTTGAAACAAACAGTCCTCTGGAGTGTAATCACAGGGGTTGAAATGGGTAAATAAAACATGCAAACTTGAGAGGTCTCATTAGCTTTCAATCCAAACAATAAAAGTTGGTCATTCAATTCCTCACTACTGAAATTTTGTCAATAAATTTCTTTGCAAAGCATTCATTTGAACAAAAGTGAGAAAAATTATCTCAGATGGGACTACTTTTGGCTACAACAATAATTCTAAACTTTTTGATTGATATTTACCAAATTCAAAGCTGTTTTGAAGCTGGACAACCTCATTGGAATGCTGGGGAAAAAGAACCTAATTCAACCAAAAACTAAAAAACACCTTTTGTTACTCCTTTGAAGGATAAAACTGAAGGACAGCTACAAGCTTGTCTGGATATTTAGTGAGTTGGTCACACCCCAAGATTCCAGATTGAACCATGTCGTGTTAATTGGACACATTTTAAGTAGCCAAACGTTGAAAATTACTAACCATCGGTTAACGGGTTACTGTTGTTTCGAGCCCTGACGTGGGGAGAGAAAAAAAAAACCAAAGAAAATATTACAATACCTGTTGCAATTGACTCCTTCCCAAGCTTCAACAGAAATGGAAGTAACCTTCCGACATCTTCTTGTAAAGCCAANTAAATAATGAATTATTTAATTTAAAGGATTTATTTAATTTTTATTTTCCTTCATTGAAAACAAATATTCCATTTTAGATATTATGTACATGTATATTGAAATCGGTTTGTATTATTTACTTACCATGACAAATTATGTGACATGGATCGAATAAATAACAGAGCACGTTATCATCATTTTTATGGAAATAATATTGACTTTTTTTGGTTTAATGTATTTCCTTCCACCTGATATTTAAGTGCACAGGACTTATATATTGTTCCTAAAATATCCATACCCACCTCATTGAGGACAATTGCACTTTTTGAACAGAAGAGATCCTTAAATGGCCCAAGTTGTTGAAGGAAAGTATGGAGACAAAAAGGGGAGTATGGATATTTGTGGAACAACACTATGTAAAAAACCATTTTTAGTCCCTTTATGTGGGTAGTGCATTTCCTTCTACACCAATGATGCTCTCAATCTGCTTAACTCAAGTACATCAATACTGCAAGTGGTACAAAATGGTGAGCCTTAAAAACTTCTAGCAAAACAATATAAAGTTCAATGTTTTGGGATATCTGTATTGAATGTTTATTGGAAGCTAACAGTAAGAGTTGCTTGACATTATAACCACTATGGGTTCTTTTTGTTAAATTTTTGACACTAACACGCATTCATCAAAGAGCTATACAAAAGACACTAACAATCAACTCATGAAAGTACTGCAGTCCTTTTTAACTGTGGGATTGATACACTACAATGTAGTAAATTTACCTTGACCATGAAACAGTTTGCAGTAGGTATGTTTAAAAGAATATTGAAGTGTATCGGTCTAGTATGGTCTTTTGTTTTGACTTAAGGTACATTTCTTTCGAATTGGCCCTTCAGAATGTTACATTCTTTTTAAGCTATATGCACGGGTGCTAAATACACCCCTAATTACTTCTTGGCTATTGACTAGTCCTCAGCCCAGCAGCAGCTAATTGGGGTTAATCTAATTGTGCAGTATCTGTTTCATGGTCCAAGCATAATCATACAAAAGCCAGCACTACTTCAGCATCATTAGGGATACTCACAAATTCCACCACTATCAAATAGATGTAAAGTTGACTAAATGTTTCACAACTACTCTGATTTTGCAATAAGTTGTGAAAAATGAGTGCTACATGTACATGTATGTATTGGGAAATTTGTGAATATACCAATGCCCCCTTAAACTAATAATGGACTATGTAGCAGTTAACAAACTTTCCCTGTTTGCTTCTCAAGCCATAATTTTGCACAAAGTGCATCTCTGACTCTAGCTGCCTCATAAGAAGCATCCTTTAGGCTTGGGCAGTCGCTCATCTGCAGCAACTTTCTCAACTCCTCCCTGTCCCTCTTTCCACCACTTTCATCCACAGATAGATCAAGCTTTCTTGAGATGGCATCTCCCTGCATAATACAAATATTATGAAGTACAATACATGCTAGGGTGGTTATGCGGACTTGATCTCGGCTGGTTTCACTTTTCCGGAGTAGGACTCTCCACCTACCCTTAAGTTGGCCGTATGCAGCTTCTGTGACCATGCGTGCTCTACTCAAGCGATAGTTGAAGTAACGCTGCTGAGGTGTCAATACAGCATTGGTAAATGGCTTCATTAACCAAGAACGAAGGGGGAATGCAGAGTCTCCAACAATGAGGGGTGGGACAGTAATTTCACCCACATCTTTACCAATTGTTGGAATAAAACCTTCTTGTATTGAGTTCCAGAGGTCGGTGGAACGAAAAATTACAGCATCATGGGAGTTCCCGGGGAACCCACAGCTGCCCCAAACAAATCTGTAATGGGAATCTACCAGGCCCATTAGTATTATGGAATAAAAGTTCTTAAAGTTATGATATTCCTTGCATGCCTCAAGTCCACCAGGAGGGCATTTAATGGGAATGTGACAGCCGTCTATTGCTGCCCAACAGCAAGGAAATTGCCAAAACTCGTCCATATCCAACATTTTTTTCTTAAAGTCATCCTGAGTCTTGGGCATATGACTAGACACGCACTCACTCCAAAGATGGTCAACAAGGAGCTGGCAGACTTCATTAACGATGGAACATACCGTTGATACTCCTAAACCTGCCATCTCTGCGATAGTATAGAAATAATCTCCGCGGCCCAGTCGATACAAACAAAGAGCTAGCCTCAGTTCTGGGGAAATTGGATCCTCCGTCACTATTTCTCTAGCAAGAAATGGGCCAATGCGATTTAATATGTACCTGAACGTTGACCGAGAAACCCTAAATGTTTTCTTGAATCTCGCCTCCGAATAATTGTTCCAAGCATTCTCCCACCATCCAGTGTTTCTGGTCAACCGACGACAGGAGCGAGACACAGGAGTGATGCTGTTTCGTTGCGATGAAATCAACAATAAAACAAGCAAACAAGTATTCAATACTTTCCTCCTCCGAGCTACTAGGTTGTTTAATGCCATTTGCATGTTAAGGCGCCTTCTTCTACCTTCACGGATGGCATTAGCGATTAGAACTTCTTCAGCATTGTTTCCCGCGCTAGAAAACTCCGCCATGTTGAATTGGTTGATTATGATTGACCGCTGACCATAATGGGTTTAATTTTGTTATTCGGCAGTTTGGTTCGACTCTATTAGGATCGACGTCTGAATCAACTGCCGAACTTAATTATTTAGGTCGACCCAAATAGGTATTAGGTTCGGCACATGTAAAGTTCGACGTTTGAACCGGGCCTTAAACATGCAAACTCGAGAGGTCTAATTAGCTTTCAATCCAAACAATAAAAGTTGGTCATTCAATTCCTCACTACTGAAATTTTGTCAATAAATTTCTTTGCAAAGCATTCATTTGAACAAAAGTGAGAAAAATTATCTCAGATGGGACTACTTTTGGCTACAACAATAATTCTAAACTTTTTGATTGATATTTACCAAATTCAAAGCTGTTTTGAAGCTGGACAACCTCATTGGAATGCTGGGGAAAAAGAACCTAATTCAACCAAAAACTAAAAAACACCTTTTGTTACTCCTTTGAAGGATAAAACTGAAGGACAGCTACAAGCTTGTCTGGATATTTAGTGAGTTGGTCACACCCCAAGATTCCAGATTGAACCATGTCGTGTTAATTGGACACATTTTAAGTAGCCAAACGTTGAAAATTACTAACCATCGGTTAACGGGTTACTGTTGTTTCGAGCCCTGACGTGGGGAGAGAAAAAAAAAACCAAAGAAAATATTACAATACCTGTTGCAATTGACTCCTTCCCAAGCTTCAACAGAAATGGAAGTAACCTTCCGACATCTTCTTGTAAAGCCAAAGTTTCTTCGGACATCCATGAACAAAGAACGCGGACCGACGCTACCACCACTCGGTTTTGTCCAGTTCGGCGACCTTTGGTCTCTCTTTGTGCTACTTGGTCTAAATACAAAACAATAGAGTGAATGGCCTCGGTTGACAAGGAATATACCCTTGAGAGGCCATTGCTAATAATAGACGGAAAATGAACTTGATTGTGTGTTTGAACAATAGCGAAGTTGATTGCTTTTTCAAGAATGTTGTAGCAGCTACCAAGGACAATGGCTTTAGGTTCGACTTCCTCTGATGTGTTACCGTCCAAAATCATTCTTATCTCGACACTGACAATCGTAAGGCTTAAAACAAATAGTCCTTGAGAATCTTGTTCTGAAAATGTAACCATCCAGTCCATTCCGACCAGATCGATAATTACCGACAATAGAATCAGAGAGGGATCCCTCTGTGACGATGAAATTCTTGAGTGCAGAATATCGTTCAAAGCCTTATAAATGTCGGTCAGCCACGAATGATCTTCTAACCCTTCAAACGTAGACTTTTCAGCACCTGATAAAAAAAGTACCAAATAGCTACAAAGTTCAAATTTACTGCTCTTTTGAGTTTCCTGGAACAGCTTACTCAATGCACTCAGTGCGCCAAGAAGGTCTTTGCTCTGTTGCCGCCAAAGTACACGTGGTTCATTGTTCAGGATTCGAAGCAAGATTTCAGTAGCTTTCTTTGAATATTTTTCTTCAAGGATTTCACAGAGCGTAGAAATTGCTCCCATTTGAACTAAATGTCTCATTCCAGTCGAGGAACTAGCAAGAGAAGCCATAATTTGATAACAATTGTCCACGATAGCAGAGTCACCTCGTTCCGCCGCTTTGATCGTGGCCAGGAACATGGGAATTTTGTTTATCATCTCGCCGTGAGAGCAGAGCTCTTCATCCGTTGCAAAGCAAGCCAGAATAGTCAGTGAGAGCGATTGATACACGTCTGAAGGACAGCCGTTGGGTACACTTCTGGTACTCAACAATCTGTTCAAAAACTTGAAACCGATCGCGTCGAAAAGTTCCCTTCGCCCAGTGACATCAACTGCGTTCGAACTAACCACCTGAGTGACCAGCAGCAATGCTGCAAAACGCTCCGTGTCTGTCTTTGCCCCTTTAAGAAGTGAAATACATTTCTGAAGAGAAGATTAGGGTTTCCCATTCTCGCTTGGGTGTACTTCGTCAGTGACTTGGCTCATGTTCACGCAGAGTGACTATCTCTAGTTCAAGTTATCCTTAACTGAACGATGTCAGACAAGTTGAACCTCAACTTGAAAGCGAGGATACAACTTTATTCCCAGGGTCCTCTCTCTCTTCCCTCACCATACTTGACAATGGCACAGGAGCCTGGAAACGAGGAGCAGACCACTGAACAGTTTTTTCTTTAAAAATGACACAAACGATGTCCCGGACATCAAAGAAAAGCAAAGAAACTTATCATACGTAATACAAGTTGCTTAATTCATTGTTACTTTCATAAGATCGAAAGAAAGAACTAGGATGGTATATGTAACGTACATGACGTATTGCGTGTAAACGCAATATGGCCGGCTTTGTCGAGTTCGTGACTTTCGGAATGTAACATGGAATAACTCGCTGTGTAGAGATTAAATGGCCAGTTTACTCGGCCATTTGCACTTGTGGTCATTGAGGAAGTTTTCCAACAAGACAGGCAAGTGTAACTAGAAATTCTATCGGTCACTGTTGAAGAATGAAGAGCTTCCCGGGAGCTGTATCTAAGTGATTCAAAGTGACAGTATCATAATGATATGGAAGCCATTGTTGTTCAAAGCTTAATCGACCTAAGAAATGTATGTTTTATTGAAAAGTAATAGGGTGTCATGATCGGTGCTAAAGCTCTTATGATTAACCATGAAATAACCTCGGTTACCGCGTACGTGAAGTCTGAGAATTGATATACTTTTAAAATGTTTCTTTGACAAAGCTTTGAAGATTTAAAAAAAAAAAATTGCAACAATCTGCATTCGGTGATTCCTAAATAAACCAATGTTTCCATAGGTTTTGTTTTTCCTGGATTAAAAATCGATTCAAGGGCCCTGATCATAAACTTTAAAATAGAGGGGGGAAAGGCATTAATAGCTTCTTTGATAATTCACCGCAAGATCCATGAAAAATATTATGTCCTGTGCCCAGTGCAGCAGATGCAGGGCACAGTACACTGTAGTCTGGGAAGTGCCAACCACAGTGCAAAAATAGTCAACACAAGTTGATCTAACTGTATAAATTTAATCATCAACTAATTCAAATGCGGTGAAAACTAAGAGGGGAAAATTACAACGGACAAGATGAGGAAAGGTGCGAATACTAATTATAAAGAAAAGGAATCGGAAGGAAAATGAAACAGAATACAATAGACTGCAACTTACATCTAATCCTGTCTTAAAAGTGTAAAGAAACTCCAACGTTGCATAACTCAAACAGATAAAACTCCAGTAAAACACTCCAATGTGACTCCTTCAATCTCCTAACTCCAACTTAGTATTAAGGGGGCATTTTCTAATAAGGGTATAATTGTAAACTGGTTCAAACAGGAACAACTAGCTACATAAGCCATGCAAACTGTGAAGAACATCATACAAAAAATGTGGGTAAACTCAATAAAGAAACAAAACAGAACTACAGCTATTTTGAATTAGAGCAAAGGTAATTATGTAATCAAAGTCCTTTTTAATGTTCATTACATTATGGTTCAGAGTAAATAAGTGAAACTTGTTTTGATTATTTGTAAAATGATAGTTTGTGGATTGGTTAATAATAATAATAATTTAATATTTATATTGTGCAAATTAACATGTGGATATGATCAAATGCGCATCACAACACTTTTCGTGGGACTTTGGCCATACTGGATCAGCAGTTTACAAACAATCGAAGGAAACTTATTTGAAGATACCCCCTACCGCCAATTCCCAGTAAACAGGCCAGACCACATCACAGTAATCTCGTGAGTGGGTTCTTTAACGTCCCCTGCCTAACCAAATTAACTGATTAATAGATGCGGGAGACGGTTAATATTCACTTGTTATTTCCTGTCTAACATGAAGCCAGAATATATAAGTAGCTTGTGTGTTGTACATTATAATGTGGAAACCTCAAGAGGCACCAACAAACTTGTTGTCCATGTAAGATTACAGGAGATTGTTGTCCATGTAAGAATACAGGAGATTGGTTAATAGTCACTTGTTATTTCCTGTCCAACATGAAGCCAGAATATATAAGTAGCTTGTGTGTTGTACATTATAATGTGGAAATCTCAAGAGGCACCAACAAACTTGTTGTCCATGTAAGAATACTACAAACTTTGGGTTAAAAAATCTACTCCATTTTTTTGTGCCAAAGTGTGGCACTGCTTTCTGAATGATTTGTGCTCACCAACAATTTATAAGAAATTTAAGAATGCTACCCTGGAGAGCTACATTTGTAATGTACAGTCTTTTAAGATCTTCCCACTGTTATGATATTAAGTGTTAGGGTTGTTTACTCAATTAAAGTAATTACAAAATTAGTTGTTACTCATTTTTTAATTTCTTATTATAATATTATACTTTTCTTGGCATATATATTAGCATGTAATGGTTTAGAGCGCGCAGATTGTGTGGTGCGGGAGATCGAATAAAGAGAGTTGGAATAAAGTTACTTTCTTTCTCACACAGGTTCTGATATAGGAACACATATTTACCACGACAAAGCTTCTGGGACAGGTGACTATTTTTTCATTAACTGTTCTTTGTGAAGAATTTGATTTTACTGGTAGTGGTATTTTTGTGTTAATGGTATGTTGGATGATATTCTGTGAGAAAAACTTGTGTTATAAGTGGAAAACTTTCCTCTGAAAATTTATTTGAACCTGGAAGTATCTAGATCTGTTGATTATGATGTGTAAACATCCAAATGAAGGGATTCCTTTAAAAGAAATTTTGTCTGTGAGATTGGGTGAAATTTGGGTGAAATTTTGGTTTTGCTCTGGTACTGCTTGTACAAATCCTTAAATAAATAAAATTTGAAAATATGATGATCAACCATTACACCTCAACATCTTGTGACAGTCTTCATTATTCTTTTCTGTGTATGTTAAATTTATCTTCCTCACCTATTTCTGCACCTTTTTTGAGCAGAGAGCAAGGGCATAGCCAAGGGGGAGGTCACACTGTGTCAAACAGAGGGTACTCACCGGGACCCAGTTGTTCAAGTGACAAATAATGCTATGCTGTCCTATCAACTGGATGGAGATTTATTTATGGACAGTACTATTCAGCCTTTGAACTAAGGGGGCCAGATTGTCATGTTGACCCCCCATGATGTATTTTACTTTAAAAAAGGTCAACAAAGGGAGGTCACTGGCACCTCAGGACCTACCCCTCTCTGCTGTGCCCCTGGAGAATTATTACAGGAAGTACTTCCATCCCCTCCCCCATAGAGAGTTTACTGAGTTTATTCATTTGTGCATTAGGCTCAGCAGGGGACCCACCTTACTCTGAACAAAAGAGACTTTGGGGAGAGGAGAGGGGAGTGTCATGGACACCAAAAAATCGCAGACCAGAGAAGCTAAGAGATGTGCTTAAGGAGTGTGAGGTCAGGCCAGTTGCTTGTTTAAGTTGGCATCATCAATCACTCTTTTTCTTCTTATTTTATCAATACATTTTTGAATAGTTGGCAAAGAAGAAATCAGTATTTATATGTCTTATGATTGCTATTTAGTGCAAATATTTCTAATTAATTTTGAATACACATTAAGTCATGTTTTAAACTGAGGGCAAATTTTGGAAAGTTTTGATTATTTTATTTTTTAGGATTAGGGTGAGGAACAATACTTTATGTTCTCAACTTTTATTTATAACATAACCAAAGTAAAGCACGCACTCTGATTGGTCAATTTAGCGTCCCCCATTTGCCCATGGGTGTACGCTGTGGTGTTTACCATTTGTTAAGTAGTATTACTGCTACATTGTTCGTAATGTAATAGGGTCTTTTTCTTCAAATGCAATGAAAAGACTGTTCTAGAGGCAATAGTTGTTATATCAAAGAGATTGTAATATGCCATTATATGAGAATTTTTAATCCAACATCTGCGCACTTTGATTTTTTTCCCATTTTAAAGGATTTGTTACAGCAGAACAGAGTCCTTGATGTTCGATGGAGAACTTTGAGAAACATTCAGGTGTGTCTGGGTTAAAGAAAACTGATGTAAAAGCAGGGCACATGAAACCGACAGGGCACATGAAACCGACAGGGCACATGAAACCGACAGGGCACATGAAACCGACAGGGCACATGAAACCGACAGGGCACATGAAACCGACAGGGCACATGAAACCGACAGGGCACATGAAACCGACAGGGCACATGAAACCGACAGGGCACATGAAACCGACAGGGCACATGAAACCGACAGGGCACACGAAATCGATAGTTTGAGTGACGTGTTGTGGTGATGCATTTTCATCGAGTGAGTGGGGACCACGTAGTTAGTATTATTCACAAAGTGATCAAGGCTAGAACTCTAGTTGAAAGCTTTTACTTTTTAGGGAAGCTTATTCACTGTGCAAGAGTTTAAACATTTCTATTCTATTTCAAAGTCCTCAACATACAGTTACAAACTAAAATGGTATTTACTGGATAAATATGCATAGTGTACACTCACCTGATACAGGGAAAGGGAATGAACCATCATCTGGAAGGCTTCTCAGTAATGGTTTCATTTTCCACCCAGGCAGAACCCTGATGAATAAAAAAAAAAAAGCTTTTGTTTTCTATGATTAGGTGCTACTTAGTAATGGGTCTTTGATTTCTATCTTGGTGTCCTCCTCTTGTGGCGATATTGAAAAAATCTCTCTTGACAAGACTTTGACTGGAAAAGTTCCCGATGCAATAAACAAAGGTATGTAATTAAATCCTTCGTATGATGGATTTTATGCATACATGGCAGACTTGATCGTTATTCTTTTTTTATTATATGGCTGTGTCTCACAAGGACTGGGAACTATGGAATTCACGAATTTGATTGGCTGAAATCAATATTGAAAGCTGTTTAGATTTTCCCATCTAGACCAGCATCTGGTCTGGTCTAGGAAAAAAAGGTACAAACAATATAAAAAATTGGCGTATAAGACACAGCCAGATAATAAACATCTTATAAACCGAGCTAGGTCGGTCTAGACGGGAGAATCTTGACCTCGGTCGCTGGTACAGACCTCACTACATTTGGTCTGTCTGACAACCTCGGTCAATATTCTCCCATACAGACCTCCTGCTTGGTTAATAAGAACTAAGTTTTCTTGTAGACCGGCCTAACTAGCCTCATCAGTAAGTCAAAGGAACAGAAAAACCTCTCTAAGATGAGCCTTGTGGAACTAATTTACATGAGTACAAAAGAATACCAATATTGGGCCTGCCATTTATGGATACTGTCTTTACTGGTTGAAATTTCTCTTGTTTGTGTAAAATATCTACAGTCGATTAGGGAACAAAATAACCAGAGATATAGAATTACTTTAAATTTTTGGAAGTTGGCTGTAAATTTCTAATATATAGTTGGGGATTTTTCTTTAAACTTATATTTTTACCATCAATTTGCCTTTTCTGATGTGTGAAATAATTTTTTTATTTAAATAATGCCGCGATGTGCATTTCATGCAGAAATTTTAAGCACAAAATTAATGTCTAACTACACAATGGTAAGGTGCATCGGCACACTTGCGTTCCAGCATTGATTCTGTAGACTCCAATTAACCTGAGATAAGATCATCACTTTGTAGCAACTTCTGGTAGAAATACTACATAACCCTCTAACTCCAATGATCTGATTGTTAATTCTCCTCTCTGGCTGCTACCTTTTTCATTGCAAATTAGTTATGAGAATTTGGTTTTAGATCACGATAACAACTTCTACCTGATGAATTTGAATGTTCTCATTAGCTGTTTGCAGGATAATTTATGGAGCAGAGGAGCAGGGATGGTGCAGTGGTGAGAGCAATCGCCTCCCAACACTGTGGCCTGGGTTCGATTCTCGGTCCTGGTGTCACATGTGGGTTGAGTTTGTTGTTGGTTCTCGTCCTTGCTCCGAGGGTTTTTCTCCGGGTCGTCCGGTTTTCCTCCCTCTGCAAAAACCAACCTTCCAAATTCCAATTCAATCTAGAACAGTGGACAAGAAGAACCACCCAGTGGATCTCCTTTGCTAAATTATTTATTATTTATTTATTTATTATTATTTACTTGTTTTTATTTATTTATTATTATGGATATTATAAGGAGAAGTTACATCTCAATCACTTCTGGGGGTTGAAGGGTTAAGCTTGGAGGGTATATGCCTTACAAGCTGTTAGAGAGTAATTTATCCCATTTTTGTTTTCCAGCAATCCTCAGAGACTCTTTTCTATTGTTTTCGCTAAAGGAAAAGCTTAAACTTTGCTACATATATTTTAATAAAAAACCTAGCCTGGACTTCAAAAAGCTGGAGAAAATGTCAGCAATGGAGCCAAAGGTATTTCTGTTGAACAGTATATTATAAGTCAATTCTCTCTAACAAAACACCCACTGTCACTTGATGGGCCTCCTTGCCACAGAAATACAATCCTACTCATGCACAGGATAGAACAGAGATACCGGTATACAAGCTTCTTCAAACAAGGCATGAATCTACTCCCCATTTTGAAAATTCCAGGGCCATGTGATTATTAAATCAACATTTATTCCTTTATTCCTTTATTCCTTTATTCCTTTATTCCTTTATTCCTTTATTCCTTTATTCCTTTATTCCTTTATTCCTTTATTCCTTTATTCCTTCATTCCTTCATTCCTTTATTCCTTTATTCCTTTATTCCTTCATTCCTTCATTCCTTCATTCCTTCATTCCTTTATTCCTTTATTCTAATGGCGTTAAACTTAACTTAACATAATCAACCACTGCCCACAAATAGCATAGCTAGTCTTAGCGGGCAGTGTGTGGACGCTAAAACATCTTACATAGATTTTGGTTCAACAAAAGATTCAACAAATATACAAGAAACAGAAATTAAATATTAAATCATGAATTTAAAAGCAGAAATGACAGTATGAGATAAAAATATAGAAATAGAAACACATGACAATAACATGAGGCAAAAAAACAGTTACTGTAGAAAGAACCCCGAGGATCAGGGACAGAGAAATTCTCTTTTTTTTTTTTTCAGAATTTTTGAAAAATTCTAGCCATGCCTTTACTTCCCACTTTCTCCTTCTTCTACTTGTCACACCCTATGCTTCACTTGACTAGATACTTGGTGAACACTACCATCTCCTCCCCTTTTTTGCTGGCTTCAGTGCTCCTTCCCTTCTCTTCATTATGGAAGGAGCTAAAATTTATTATAACAAGTATTGTTATTCTACTAATCTTCTTTTCAGACTTTGTATGTTGATCTGCCTGGGCCATCAAGTAAGAGACTTGACAGACAGTTGTCAGTCAACTAGCGCCAAGACATGGTAAGAGGATTTAAACAATTTAGGGGACTCAAACAATTTCATTGTTATTGGTGTTGATTAACCTTTTGGAGATGTGATGTACAAATGCTCAGCATTGAGGATCCTGACTCAAAAAGTCTAAATTTGGGTGGTGCTGAAAATCGAAGCTGGGATCTTTGATAAGGTTCCTGTACAGTACTAGTATAATTATTAGTATTATTATTATTATTATTATTATTATTAGTGGTAGTAGTAGTAGTAGTAGTAGTAGTATTAGTATTATTATTATTATTAGTATAATTATTTTTGTATACATTAGCTGATGATTGGATGCTCTCAATTAATCATTCTATTAATTATTAATTATTAATTATTGATCATCAAATTATCTTAGCCTAAAAGGCTCTTGAATAGAGAAGTTGTGAAACCTGGATTAGAATTTAACCCTGGGTTAATGCTAGTCTCTCACCTCTGCTCTGGAAACTGGATGATATCCAACAGAAGTGAATTGTTTTGCTCTTTTTATTCCCTACAGGCACTGGTTTGGTGGTCTGGCCATAGTGAAGAGGCCTGGCCATGGTCTCCAGTGACAACTGAAAAGGACAGAGCAAACATGGCCATCTTCAGTTTGAATGGGTACGAATTTTGAACACTGCAGCTGTGAACTGAGTGATATATACACTATTTAAACTACTTCAGTCTTTATCTCTAATTAAACCATTCTTGATATCTATTGATTATCAAGGCCAAAGATTGAGATGCTGTCCAGTGTTAGATCAGACTCGGAACCCTTGCATGCTTCCTTCAGGTAGGTACTGGTAGATAACTTTTCTTTGTCATTATCATTGTTCCTTCCTCTCTGTGTGAAGAACAGGGTTGCTCCCTATGTAACAAAAAATATGAATGAATAGAGGCTGATAGTTTCAGTAGAAACTGTTTGGGGCTGTGTCGGTAGGAGTAACGAAATAATTTGGATATATCAACGAAGTTGAAATGGTAAATTGGCCACCATAACGATTACAAAAGCTGAGGTTTCGAGCACACACAACCCACAATTCCTCTATTTGCTCTGACGAAGGGCTAACACTCGAAACGTCAGCTTTTGTAATCATTATGGTGGCCAATTTACCATTTCAACTTTGTTGATATAACAAAAAATATGGTTTGCCCGTAACATTGTTTGAATATCAAACTTAAGGAATGGCCATTTTGTACAACAAGTCAGTTGATGTAATATTTGGAGGCAGATGTTAAACAAGACTTGGTTTCTTGGGCCATGTGATATCTTTGTAACCAAACATGGTGACAGAATTGAGTACAGGATAGACCGAAAGAAACTTACAATTATGCAGACTAAGGGATAACAGGGAAGAGGAAATGCAACAGTATTACACACCTCAATCCTCCTGCTCAGCTAGACTTCAATACTTAAACCTGGATGACAATTGGAAAAGATGAAAGCAAGAATTATAATTATACAATATGAATTATTCTCCCAAGTAGGTGTGGCTGCTTCAGTCTAGCCAATACTTTTCAAGCCCCATGGTTTCTTTGGGCTTCCATGTATTTACAATATG